AAAAAAACATTCAATTCATATTGATAAGGAGACGTGCTGATTAGTTTGAAGGTCGTTCCAAAGATACGGGGCAAAAAGTCCTAAAAATGGTAACTCCGTTTTTAAGAGAACGGAGCGTTCGATTTCAATAATTCAAAAAACATTTTACTTGAAACTGGTGAAATTTTTGGGAAGGCAGGCCTAGCGGTTACTGACTCTCAATAAAAATAAGTTAAAAAATGCCATTTGGCGGTCAAAAATGTTTATTGGACGTTTGTACATCAAATTATCAGATATTGTATGTAGATTTTAATATTGTGTACACATTATGTGTAAATTTTTTTGGGTTCCGTACCAAGACTTTTATTTTTGAAGTCTATTTACATAGTTCAAACAAAGGTCCTCGACATTTTCGACAGTATAAAATAACCGACATATAAAATCGAAAAATAATTCGCTCGTACTCAATTCGCGAGGCGTTTTTGCAAAAAGCGTTCGGGTAGTTCTAGCGATTTGCCTTAAGGCACGATGCCATGCGCCCCACTAGTTTTTGTATTGCTGTTATTATTAACTTCCCGTAGGGCAAAAAAATCAAAATGAATTTTTTTTATATTTTTTTACGTTTCAAAGGTTTCTGAATATTTTGGCATACCTTAGAATAAATGGATGTATGTGTGTGTGTGTGCGGATACAAATTTTGCGTGCCAAACAGTTTTAGGCACAGACAGATCAAACCGTTTCGATAATACGGGGCAAAAAGTGCCACAAACGGAAACTCAGTTTTTAAGAGAACGGGGTGTCCGATTTTAATAATTCAAAAAACATTTTATTTGTATTGACAAGATAAAGGATTGGACAAATTTTCATAAAGGCAGGTCTAGCGGTTTCGGAGATCTAGTGAAACAAGTAAAAAAAATGCCATTTGGCGATGAAAAATGATCATTAGACATATGCACATCAAATTATCAGATATTTTATATACGTTCTCTTAAAAACTGAGTAACCGTTTGTGGCACTTTTTGGCCCGTATATGCGAAACGGCTAGACCTGCCTATGCGAAAAACTAGTCAGCACGTTTCCTTATCAACAGCAATCGAATGTTTTTTGAATTATTCAAATCGGTTGATCGGTGTTCCCGAATTCGTCAACGAAGATTTGTATCTGCATACACACACGCGCGCTTTTAGCTTTGTTTCCTTTTATATTCAATTTATTGTATTCGTAGGTATAATTTCTTTTTCGCACCTGTCAAATTTGTAAATAAGACATTAAAGTCTTGATAAACAAAAATAAACTAGTTGGTTTGGTATTTAGCCTTGAGGCAAATTACATGAACTTCCCGATATGTGTAAATAATCGACTTGATCAAAAAAATGTGTAAATAATATACTTCATCAATCCTACTTTTAAAAAAAACGATAATAATTTTAGCAAAGTTTGACGAATTTTTAAAATTAAACTACTTGTTGTAAGACCGTAATAATACAGTAAGTTCTATAAGACCATGATGTATATCGCCAAAAAAAGTTCCATGAAAAACGGCTTAAATTTTTTTTAACAGTTAATTACAAGAAAACGGCTCGGTAGTTTTTCATCTAAAATTAATCAGTACCATTCCCATCTAATATCTTTCGAACAGTTTTTGATTTTTCAAAATCGGTTCGGTAGGATGAGCTTAAATGTGGACGAAAATTTAACACATTTTTTCAACATTTAATTACAAGAAAACGGCTCGGTAGATTTTCACCTAAAATTAATCAGTACCATTCCCATCTAATATCTTTCGAACAGTTTTTGATTTTTCAAAATCGGTTCGGTAGGATGAGCTTAAATGTGGACGAAAATTTAACACTTTTTTTCAACATTTAATTACAAGAAAACGGCTCGGTAGATTTTCACCTAAAATTAATCAGCATCATTCCCAAATGAAATCTTTCGAACAGTTTTTGATTTTTCAAAATCGGTTTGGTAGGATGAGCTTAAATGTGGACGAAAATTTAACACTTTTTTTCAACATTTAATTACAAGAAAACGGCTCGGTAGATTTTCACCTAAAATTAATCAGCATCATTCCCAAATGATATCTTTCGAACAGTTTTTGATTTTTCAAAATCGGTTCGGTAGGATGAGCTTAAATGTGGACGAAAACTTCAACCCTTTTTTTCAAATTACGAAGAAACGGCTTGGCAGATCGTTGCACAAAACTGACAAACGATAGTCCTCACCGAAATACATCAAATGGCTTTTAAATTTCTAAAATCGGTTCAGGCGTTTTTGAAAAAACGTCGATCAAAAGTCCAATTTTGACAAATGCCAAAAAGACCATACTGATTTTTGCAAACTTTGACGAATTTTTAAAGCTGAACCAGTTGTCGTAGGGCCGTAATATTTTAGTATGACCTAGAAAACTAGGGTATCTTTCGTCAAAAAAATAATCATAAAAATCGTCAAAATTTTTTTTTAAAAAACTTTATTACAAGAAAACGGCCCGGCCGATCTTTACCAAAAACTAATCAGCACGATTCCCAACCAATATCTATCGAACGGTTTTTGAATTTTCAGAATCGATTCAGAATTGCGGGCTAAAACGTGGACGAAAAATTTTTCACTTTTCTGCAATTTACAAAGAAACGGCCCGGCCGATCGCCGCACAAAACTCAGAGACGATAGTCCTCATCGAGATACATCAAATGGCTTTTAAATTTTTGAAATCGGTCCAACCGTTTTGGAGAAAATGTGGATTTACGGCAAAAAATCTGTTCACACACACACACACACACATACACACACACACACACACACACATACTTTTTCCAAATTTGGTCTCATTCGATTCAGAATGGCTCGAAACGTCGAGAAAACATAAAATTAGCGATTCGGATTTTTTGATGAAAACATAAACTTCTCCTTCGGGAAGTTAATTATTACGCCTTTACGTCGTAATGATATAATATAACAGGAAGAAGGTGATGATCCACCGTGGGCAAAAATATCTATCATCAGTTTTTAAACCAAATGCTGATCGCATCTCTCCTAATGACCTAGATTCAAATCCATTACCACCAGTGAATAAGGGCAGCTGCCTCAAATTCGTTTCATTGAATATGGTAATCAAAGAAATTGCTAAATTAAAAACTAAGTAATCCGCTGGTTTTGACTCAATTACACCGAAATTGTAAAACTTTATACATTTATAAAAAATTATAAGTCGTATCTAATAATAACTAGTCGGTATTGGTATTTTGCCTTGAAGCGAGTTACATGAACTTCCCGATATGTGTAAATAATCCACTTGATCAATAAAAAGTAAATTAATTTATGAGTGATTAAAAGTATTCCGAGTGGATTTATTGCACATAATTGAAAGCGAACGAACACGTTAACTCGGAGTATTTTCTAGAGCTAATTTTCAAAAATCAACAATTTTTATAATTGAATCAGTTTCCGTAGAACTTTAATGGTTTAGTATGTCCATTAAGACCTAGTATTCTATTGTTATACCAAGTAGATTGTCTAACTTTAATATTAACTAACGTTAAAAAAACTACTCATTTTTTCAAACTTTGATGAATTTTTAAAATTAAACTACTTGTCGTAAGCCCGTAAATTTTCAGTAAGTAAGGCCATGATATATATCGCCAAAAAAAGTTCCGGCTTAAATGTTTTTTCGACAGTTAATTACAAGAAAACGGCTCGGTAGATTTTCACCTGAAACTAATCAGTATCATTTCCAACTAATATCTTTCGAACAGTTTTTGACTTTTTGAAATAGATTCGGTAGTATTAGCTTAAGTGTGGACGAAAAGTTTAACACTTTTTTCCAAATTACAAAGAAACGGCTCGACTGATCGTCGCACAAAACTTAGAAACGATAATCCTCATCGAGATACGTCAAATGCCTTTTAAATTTCTTAAATCAGTTCATTTGTTTCTGAGCAAACGTCGATGAAAGGTCTAATTTTGACAAACGCCAAAAAAACGATACTAATTTTTGCAAACTTTGATGAATTTTTAACATTAAACCACTTGTCGTAACGCCGTAATATTTTAATATGATCTATAAGGCTATGGAATCTACCGTCAACAAAAAAATCATGAAAATCGTCGAAAAATGTTTTTTTTAACACTTTATTACAAGAAAATCGCCCGGCCGATCTTTACAAAAACTAATCAGCACGATTCCTAACCAATATTTTTCGAACAGTTTTTGAATTTTCAAAATCGATTCAAAATTGCGGGCTAAAACGTGGACGAAATTTTTTTCACTTTTTTGCCATTTACAAAGAAACGGCTTGGCTGATTGTCGCGCAAAATTGATAAATGCTAGTCCTCCCTCATCGAAATACATCAAATGGCTTTTAAATTTTTGAAATCGATCCAGCCGTTTTTGACAAAACGTCGATTTACGGCAAAATAGCTCTTCACATACACACACACACATATTTTTTCCAAATTTGTTCTCATTCGATTCAGAATGGCTTGAAACGTCGAGAAAACATAAAATTAGCGAATAGGATTTTTTGATGAAAAAAAACATAAACTTCTCCTTCGGGAAGTTAGTAAATATTATTTCAGCCTCTTGTCAATTACTATTGATAATGAATTATAATCTATTTTATCAATTTTATTATCTTGTTAACTACTATTGATTACTACCTTTCAAATCATAATCATATTCAAATAACCAGTTAACTTAATAATTAATAAATTGATGATTCTGAAACATCAATGCAAATCGAATGTTATTCGAGTCTAATTCACTTGGTAAATCTATTCAAATATATGCTTATATAATACATACAACACGAACTGTTTTCTAATGCTTGTATTGTCAAAATTATCATAAAGCAAAACAGATAACAAAATTTGTCTGTTAGATAATGTTAACAAAAACTGGAATAAGTGAAAAGAATACCTGATTTGTGACGTTACGGCAGAGAATTCGAGTTGTGATACAATCCCCACCAAATTATAATGGGGCCACTTACTTTTACCGGAACGTGATGAGACACTGAGACAGTCAATGCCACACCACAACAGTTTATTGTGTGTAGTGATTGAATATAGATGCATTGCATATTTTTCATTTAAGATTGTGATTTATATGTCTTAACTTAAGCTAAGTTTGTATCGGAATATCATTTAACCAAGGTAATTATTGAACATTCATTCTGAAAATATCATACAAATATTATAATTATTGTATTCCTTCTTGATGCCTACAGTATAGATTGCGTTTGAAATGTTTATTAAAAATACAATAAATATAAGTATTAATTTTAGCTCAAGTTATTTGTTATAAGAATGTATATGAAAATTTGTCGTAATGATTCTTCAAGAAAGTTGTCAAGGACAAAACCATAGTAACATTCTTATAATCATTGTTTGTTATGGACATGTTCTCAAAAAATAATTTATATAATAATAACAACACTTATGATGGTTATATGACGTTTATACTTGTATTATTATTGTATTATGCATGTTAAAGTTTGTTGTAATGGTTCTTCAAGAAAGTTGTCAAGGACAAAACAATAGTAACATTCTTATAATCATGGTTTGTTATGGACATGTTCTCAAAAAATAATTTATATAATAATAACAACACTTATGATGGTTATATGACGTTTATACTTGTATTATTATTGTATTATGCAAGTTAAAGTTTGTTGTAATGGTTCTTCAAGAAAGTTGTCAAGGACAAAACAATAGTAACATTCTTATAATCATGGTTTGTTATGAACATGTTCTAAAAAAACGATTTATATAATAATAACAACACTTATGATGGTTTTATGACGTTTATACTTGTATTATTATTATATTATGCATGTTAAAGTTTGTTGTAATAGTTCTTCTAGAAAGTTGTCAAGGACAAAACAATAATAACATTCTTATAACATTTGATTCTTATGAACGTTTTCTCAAAAATTAATTTAAATCTTGTTTATCTAACGTTAATAATAATACCATTTATGACGGTTTTATGACGTTTATACTGGTATTATTATTTTATTATGCATGTTAAAGTTGGTTGTAATGACACTTCAAGAAATTTCTAAATGACAAAATAAGGATTATTTTATATACATTATTTTTTCTATTTTATTTACGTCCGGTTTACCATTGATCATTTTTGAAATATTGCCTATAGCATTTACTGCGACGTAAAATGGACGTAATTATTTCTAATTAGAACGTAATAGGATGAACTTGCAAGTCATACAGTCATAAAAAGCTAATAACTACAGTATTAAGATGATTTGCAATTTTTATATATTTAAAATCAATTTTAGTCAGATAAAAAACTGCATTGAAAAATGATCAGTGATTTTTTCTATTGAACCCCTAAATCTTGCAAATTCGAGAAAAAATTTACTCCTATGTTGAAGTTACTGGTAATGCAGTTTTTTCATATCTTTGATAAAATTATTGATTGATTTTGTTCATTTGCCTAACAATTTTAACAAAAAAAATGTTTTTTACAACTATTTATTATCAATTTGTCAAATATTATTTACACCAATATATGAGTGATTGAATGTAGAACTGTTTGAAATAAATTGATTATTCTCAATTCCCACAGTTAACACTTTAATTATCCCTTTGACAAATATTAAAATATGTTCAATAAAATTATATATTCAAAATTAAACTCCGCAATTTATAGAACAAAATTTCTAATAGCTAAATTTTTTTAATACCAAACGTTATACAATTTTTTAGTCATACCTGTAGACGTGGATGTATAAATTGGATGATTTTTTGTTTATTCACAACTAAAACATTGATTTTCCAAATTTATCACACAAAAAATCATCGACTGCCTTTGTGATTTATGGTCATAGCATAAGATACACGTGTTGAAAATTGAAATCTTTTAAAAGGTATAACAAATTCAGAAAGAATTAATATACAGCATTCGCGGTAAAGGTACAACATCATCTTGGACTTTTCTATTCAAAATAATTGCTTCAATAATGTTGCCTATTTATTCTTACAATTTCGTACTATATTTTACCTGGCTTTTAGTAATTTTAATATCTAAATTACATTTTTCTCACCAATAATTCAATGTACATTATCATTTATATTCATATTTGAAGTGAATAAATTTATCAAATCCCTGTTCACATGTGATCTATTCAACCTACGATCAACAAAATTATTGCAGTAAATGGAGAGCAAAAAAACGTGTGTCAGAAATAGGCTAATCTTTCATAAACTTACTCATAAACTATTTGATTTAAATGAAAAATTAATTGTAAGCGTCTTTTATCTGCATGATAGCTCACTCATTTTACACGCAAAAGTACTCATTTTAAAGCTTATTTAGAGCACTATAAAACCCCATTTTCATATCTAGCCTAATATTGTTCCTAGAACACTTTATAAAACACCGATTTATTAAGATTTTAATTGATATAATTTTGTTCATTACATGATTTTCGTTAAAATGTATATTTTTAGAAATATTTGCAAAAAACGATGAAAAACGAAAAAAACAAATTTTCAGTGGCCAGTAACTTGAAAAGTAATTTCTTTTTTGAAAAACATTAATAAACAATTTTCTCTTCTAATTAGTTCTTTTATCGATATCCGACGTTATTTTGAAAGAAATACAATTGCACCACTGAAATGGGATGTCATCCCGCCGTGAAGTGGCAAAGGAGTCTAAACTATTTTCATTTTTAAACTTGAGAGTAAGATGAACCTAATTCCAAAATTTCATGCAAATTGGAGCCCATTAAAAATATTCAGACCCAAAACGCTCCATAGATTTGAGTAAATATTTCGTATTCAATGCCAAACATGTGAATTTTTGACACAATAAAAATTCTAGATAATTTTTATTTATTTCTACAATCTAACTATATTTCTATGAATCAAAAAATCTTAGAAAATTCACTTATCAAACTTCACGAGGATTTATGAAAATCCGAATAATAGTTTAAGAGGATTAACCTGTTACAGAAGAATTTTATATATAAGATATATAAAACAGTGCGCACAATGCAATGCTATCAATAACATCAAATATAGGAGGGCAATATGTGCTCCTCCTATTTCTCGTTTGTTAATATAATAGTATTTTATTATTTTACACAAATTTAGTGTTCAATCAATTTTACATCATAATTAATGTTTTCTGTTGTTTTTCCTGGTTTGATTACTGAATGATGACACACATCAAGTGTCGAAACGTTTAATGGAATAAATAATTTTGTTATTTAATCTATATATATATATATATATATATATATATATATATATATATATATATATGTAATATGTAGGAGAGAGTATGCTTGTATTACAAATTATTTTTTAAATTTAGCGATACTTGAAATGGGGCTAGTTAGCGGAAAATGTTTGACTTCTAAGCGTCTAGATGGCATTACTGCTGTTATTACCGGATGCAATACGGGGATCGGCAAGGAAACAGCGAAAGATTTTTATTTACGAGGTAAATATAGACAAATTAATTTATTTATTTGTGTGCTTTTCGAACTTCACGAAGTAGAAATTTATGTTTTTGCTAAATTTGCTAATTTGATGTTGTTCTCGACATTTCGTAATTCTGAATCGAATGAGACCAAATTTGGAAAAAGTTTGCGTATGTGTATGTGACACATACACATACGCAAACATTCGACAAAAACATTCTATGTAATTTATTAAAAATCAGCGTTGATTAATTTAATATACCATATACATGATAGTGAAAACAACAAAAAATATAAATTATTTTGCCTACGTTTTAGCTCTCAATTCTTAATAGCCTTTAAGAATTCAAAAAACTTTGAAAATATTGGTTGCGAATCGTGCTGATTAGTTTTTGGTAACAGTCGGCCAGGTTATTTTCGCTTGATTAATTGTTAAAAAAATCGAAGATTTTTATGATACTTTTTTTGACAATATAGCTAATGGTCTTAAAAAACATAATATGAAATTACCGGTCTACGATAAGTGTTCTAATTTAAAAAAAAACTCAAGCTTGAAAAAATTAGGTGTGTCAAACGTCACTTTAGTGATGTGGATTTGGAAAATTGAAAAATCGTTCCAAAGATAATGTTTTTTTTTTTTTTAAATTTTTAGCACTTTTCTACTTGCATTATTTTTTTAAATTGTATGTGCAAACTTCGATTCACTCGCCAACCGTCGTAGAGGTGGTCGGTTCGAAAAATCAAACTAGCTGTAAGTGGAATTCTGTCTTAAGGCAATTAAGGCATCGTGCCTTAAGGCAAATTGCTGGAACTTCCCGTACCAAAAATTATTATTTTTTTAACATTTTTGAAAAAAATTTACTTCGAAAATATAAGATTTTTGAGAAACTATAAATTGGACAAAAAATTACTTTTTTTTGAAAAAAAATTTTTTTTTTAAAAAAAAAATTTAATTTTTTTTTGAAAAAAAATTTTTTTTCTTTATTTTGACATATTGTGGAAGATCTGAACTTTCTTTTCAAAGCAATCGTACTGCTTTAACTGCATAAAGACGAAATATCAAACCGCGTAAGTGCCGCGTCGACGTCTAACGCGTAAACATTGGTACGGAACCCATAGGAATGTAAACCAAAATTATACTTATTGTTAAAATCTCTATAAAATATCTGATAATTTGATGTGCATATGTCTAATGATCATTTTTGATCGCCAAATGGCTCATTTTTTTACTTTTTTCTCCATATCTCCGAAACCGCTAGACCTACCTTCATCGATTCTTCATCTTGTCAATACAAGTAAAATGTTTTTTGAATTATTCAAATCGGACGCTTCGTTCTCTTAAAAACTGAGTTACCGTTTTCGGCACTTTTTGCCCCGTATCTTTGGAACGGCTAGACCTGCCTTCGCCAAAAACTAATCAGCACGTCTCCTTATCAATACGAATCGAATGTTTTTTGAATTATTCAAATCGGTTGATCCGTGTTCCCGAAATCGTCGACGAAAATTTGTATCCGCACATACATACACACACATACATACATACATACACACACACATACACACACACACACACACACACATACATCCATTTTTTCTAAGGTATCCCAAAATGTTCAGAAACCTCTGAAACGTAAAGATATATAAAAAATTTTCATTTTTGATTTTTTTGCGATTACTATAACTTGCCCTACGGGAAGTTAATTATAAACTAGTCACATGTTTAACTATTGACATAATTTCTATTGTTACAGTTCAAACGTGTGTCCCTAGTGGGACATGCACAGTTTGAGTTCGATAGAATTTTATTTATAAGAAATAAATCAATAACACTTTGAATATTATCATATCATGGTATGTATATTAATACATTGAACAGCTTTATATTATTACACGATATAAATCAGGCATTATAACAAAATTTATCATTTTCCTAATAGAAATTAACTCTAATAACAACTAAATCTAATAAAGCACAGTGGTACAATTCAAATATTCAACCGACTACTGTTGATTATGAACGTGCAGTTGATTGTGACTATTATTAATTAAGTTATTTGTATTATTGGTGCGTCTATTGAGTCTATTGAAAAATAACTATGTAAGTATTAAAACATAGTAATGTTTGATAGTAAATTCATTAAGCAGAAAACTACAATAAATAAAATGTGTTAATATTACAGCCTGCAACAGATTGTGTTAATATTACTGCCCAAGATTGACAAAGGCAACAAACATGCTCTACATTAACACGAGCATCATTTGTTAGTCTTGTTTTTGATAATTAACTACTCTGCTCATTGAAATATTGCAATTGGTGCAATGGATAAAGTATGCCAATATTGTCAAGTAATGGAATTTAGAAATAAAACAGAAGGCATGTGCTGCAAGTGATTCTTCTACAACACATTCCTACGCTACCATCAGATTGCACGATACCATTTAAGAGGTTACGATTTCTGTTACGATTCGCATTTGCGATGACTATCACCAAGACTCAGGGACAAACAATGCTCGTTTTTGGGCTTGAATTAGAAAAAAAAAAAAAAAAAAAAATTATTGAGTAAAAATTAGAAGAATTAGAATCATGTATGTAATGTAATAAATTATTTATATTGTATATATTTTTTATATATTGTGATATTTAATTTTAGGATAATATTATATATACAGTAAGTTCTATGTTTGCATAATGGTGTTTATGAAATACGTGTATGTTGACAGTAATATAGGTGGTGTTTTAAATAATTAATAGCAAATTTGCTTAGAATATTATATATTATAATTATTTGTAATTATAACAATAATTATTTAAAAGTGTATTTTGAATAATATTTAAATTTATAATACATATATATATATATATATATATATATATATATATATAATTTAAATATCGCTGGTTAGAAATGAAAAATAAAGATACTAATAGATAACCTTCACAACCATTTAATACATTTATAAGTAAAATTATCACTTGTTTCCAGTGGCGTCGGAACCAAATTTTTGATGGGTGGGCTCGTTTTTTTTTTTTTTTTTTTTTTAGATAGGCAGCCAGTGGTCTCGTTTTTTTAGAGATATTAGCCCATATAATTTTTTGAGATTGATGGGTGGGCTGAGCCCCCCCATCAAAATTCATGGGTGGGCTCAAGCCCACACGGTTCCGACGCCACTGCTTGTTTCTTATGATAAATTTTATAAATTTATTCGGAACTTTAATTTATTGTTTTTTTTTAATTTTTTTATTTATATAAATTTCAAGGAAATTTTGATCAATAGTATTGATCCAGGTTGATCCATGTTGTTCAAATAATAAAACCAACGCAACGCGGTAAAATATTTTTGAAGGCAAAACAACGTTTTCCTGGTCAGCTAGTATATATATATATATATATATATATATATATATATATATATAATAGACCACGGAAGCTCCGAAATATATACTATATACATATATAAATTTTATTTTAAGGTTTGATTTTAAATTTTTAAATCAACACCCTTCAGTTATGTTTAAAAGAAGTCAAATCACTCTAAAAGTAAAATGACAAAATGTCATAGATTGTAGCGTGAAAATTATTCTGAAAAAAATTAGGAAAATTCTCTTACAATTTCTAAATTACGTTTTACTAAAAACCAAGACGTAAGTGGCATTTTGCTTTGATAAAAATTACTTGAACTTTCCATTATGTATAAATAATAAACCTAATAAATAAATAATAAGAATTAAGTATTTAATTAAAACTGTTTGTTTCGAATATAAAATTTTTGTTCTCACGAAAAACCAACCAGTTTTGTTATAATATTTCAATTTTGAATTAACATTGTTTAAACAAACGTAAATTGTTAGTGATTAAATTAATTATATTGTTATGAATTCATTTCAATTACTTTATTATTTACGAATTGTGTTTAACCTTTTATGATTTGACTCGCAAATAGCTGGAAATCTTAAATAAATGTATTCAATTCAAGTTGGTTGTGAAGGTTATCTATTAGTATCTTTATTTTTCATTTCTAACCAGCGATATATATATATATATATATATATATATATATATATATATTTGTATTATAAATTTAAATATTATTCAAAATACACTTTTAAATAATTATTGTTATAATTACAAATACTTATAATATATAATATTCTAAGCAAATTTGCTATTAATTATTTAAAACACCACCTATATTACTGTTAACATACATGTATTTTATAAACACCATTATGCAAACATAGAACTTACTGCATAATATTATCCTAAAATTAAATATCACAATATATAAAAAATATATACAATATAAATAATTTATTACATTACATACATGATTCTAATTCTTCTAATTTTTACTCAATAATGAATGCTTTTCTAATTCAAGCCCAAAAACGAGCATTGTTTGTCCCTGAGCCTTGGTGGTAGTCATCGCAAATGCGAATCGTAACAAAAATTGTAAATTTCTTAAATGGTATCGTGCAATCTGATGGTAGCGTAGGAATGTGTTGTAGAAGAATCACTTGCAGCACATGCCTTCTGTTTTATTTCTAAATTTCATTGCCTGACAATATTGGCATACATTATCCATTGCACCAATTGCAATCTTTCAATGAGCAGAGTAGTTAATTATCAAAAGCAAGACTAACAAATGATGCTCGTGTTAATATATAGAGCATGTTTGTTGCCTTCGTCAATCTTGGGCAGTAATATTAACACAATCTGTCGCAGGCTGTAATATTAACACATTATTTTTTTACTCCAAGTAAGAGGCTTTTGTTCAATTCAATGATTTATATACTTATTTATATTCACGTATTCACATACTTATTCTAAACATTTCCTAATATAAAACATACAACCACTTGCAGACTCAGACACACTCCTCAGGGCTGACTTTCATACACATATAGGGGGAGGTGTGTGGTGCACAACCACATATTTGTAATAATATTGCACAAACGTTTGCTTGTATGTATTAAAATGTAAAAGCTCGACACCTAAAACTCACGAGTAAAAAATCAGCTACGTTGGTCAAACTTGATTTTGAACGATTGAAGCGCCAAAAAAACATAAAATTCACAAGTATGATTTATTCGTGAAAACATAAATTTCTATAGACTAACCCATTTGTTAAATTTGAAATATCGAACTTTTAGTCAATTCTAAAATAATTTTTAAACTATCAAAATTTACAAATTATTTGTAAAACTAAAATATTTGTCACTATCATTATTTTAAAAAAAGTTTACAATTCTAAATTATAATTATTCACTATCCTAGTTATTAACTTCCCGTAGGGCAAGTTATAGTAATCGCAAAAAAATCGAAAATGAAAATTTTTATATATCTTTACGTTTCAGAGGTTTCTGAATATTTTGGCATAGCTTAGAAAAAATGGATGTATGTGTGTGTGTGTGTGTGTGTGTGTGTATGTATGTATGTACGTGTGTGTATGTATGTGCGGATACAAATTTTCGTCGACGATTTCGGGAACACGGATCAACCAATTTGAATAATTCAAAAAACATTCGATTCGTATTGATAAGGAGACGTGCTGATTAGTTTTTGGCGAAGGCAGGTCTAGCCGTTCCGAAGATACGGGGCAAAAAGTGCCGAAAACGGTAACTCAGTTTTTAAGAGAACGGAGCGTCCGATTTAAATAATTCAAAAAACATTTTACTTGTATTGACAAGATGAAGAATTGATCAAATTTTCATAAAGGCAGGTCTAGTGGTTTCGGAGATCTAACGAAAAAAGTAAAAAAAAATGCCATTTGGCGGTTAAAAATGATCATTAGACATATGCACATCAAATTATCATATTTTATAGAGATTTTAACAATAAGTATAATTTTTTTTTACACTTCTATGGGTTCCGTACCAATGCTTATGCGTTAGACGGCGGCGCGGCACTTGCGCTGTGACATTTCGTCTCTATGCAGTTCCAAGCAGTACGATTGCTTTGAAAGAAAGTTCAGAATTTCCAAAATATGTCAAAATAAAAAAAACATCTTTCTTTTCAAAAAAATTTTTTATTTTAAAAAAAAAATTTTCTTTCAAAAAAAAATTTTTTTTCAAATAAAATTTTTTTTTTCAAAAAAAATAATTTTTGGTCAAATTTATAGTTTCTCAAAAATCTAATTTTTTCGAAGTAATTTTTTTTCAAAAATGTTAATCGTTTTTAAAAAAATAATTATTTTTGGTACGGGAAGTTCCAGCAATTTGCCTTAAGGCACGATGCCTTAATTGCCTTAAGACAGAATTCCACTTACAGCTAGTTTTTTATTTTTTAGGCGCGCGTGTTATTATGGCTTGCAGAGATTTACAGAAAGCTCAACAGGCAGCAGATGATATTAGAAAATCATGCATAAATCAGGAGGGAATTGTAGGCGATGAAATTAACAAAAACCTCACAAAACTTGGTGATATCGTCATAGTTCCTTTAGATCTAACATCCTTCGAATCAATTAGAAATTGTGCCAAACATATTTTACAAACAGAAAGTAAATTGCAGTTGCTTATAAACAACGCAGGAGTAATGGCTTGTCCGCAAATGAAGACAAAGGACGGCTTTGAAATGCAATTTGGAACTAATCACTTAGGGCACTTCTTGCTAACAATGTTGTTACTACCACTCTTGATAGAAAGCAGACCCTCAAGAATTGTGACAGTATCTTCAGTAGCACATTCACATGGTAATCTTTTCTATTAATTTTGAACTGAAATTCATTATATATACCTTTATACAATTATCTAATTTGACTTATAGCAATTATAATGTGAAAACCAAACCAACTACATCATAACCTATGGTATTTATCAAACGAACAACTATCGAACTATGTACGGTAAAATTTCCAACTAGTTAGTAGTCCAAATACCATGGTAGTGATATTTTTTTGCTATTCCAATGTTTAACATCTTGCTCTTTTTACCCCATAGTCGGAGCAAAATGGGACAGCCAAAAAGCAGTAGAATTTACTGTTTCATTTTCAATTTCACATTTTTTAATCAATGGCCCTTTAAATCCGAAACACATGTAAGCTATCTTAGAAGATATATAAATAATATTGAATCTAAATCTCGAAACTATAAAAAATACTTGAGGCTATTTATGTCATTATATAGATATCACCCGATTTAAGGCGATGGATGGTTGTACTCAAAATGTAAATTTACTGCGTATTTAAATTAAATATAAAATTTGCGTGTACAAAGATTTTAAAAACTCAAATATTGTAGTCTTCAAGTTATCAAGGTTTGTAATGAACAGTATTAGTATCGTCCTATTTTTCATTAAGACTTTTGCTTTGGCTTTTGCAAATTTTGATCTTTGTACAGAGTTTGTTACATTGCTAGTTATTATGCTTCCCATGATTGCGACTTAGTTCAGAAAAACTCTTTCTTTCTGTTCTATGTATAGATTATAGATCAGCTTCTGATGCCAATATTTTACCCTGTAAAATGCCTTGTATCATCAATAAAAAGCGAACATATTTATGCTAATAGAAATACTTGCTGCCTAATTCTGAATCTGAATTCATTTTGACTCATGTGATGATCTATTTTATTTTCATTTTTACTGGCTTTACAGCTTTTTTATAACCTTCACATCACTGTCCTAATATATTTAATAGCTATTTTTTTTAAAAAAAAAGTGCGCGTAAGGTTCACACGGGATTGCAGTAAAACTTTTTTGCTTTTGTACGAGGTGGCATTTAAGTTAAAAATAAATACATCATATAACAATTTTAAACTAGTTGGTATTGGTATTTTGCCTTGAGGCAAGTTACATGAACTTCCCGAAATGTATAAATAATCGACTTAATCAATATAAAATAAATTTTGTTTCTACGATTTCGGGAACACGGTTCAACCGATTTCAATTATTCAAAAAACATTCGGTTGCTGTTGATAAGGAGACGTGCTGATTAGTTTTTGGCATAGGCAGCCGTCTAGCAGTTTCGAAGATACGGGTCAAAAAGTACCACAAACGGTAACTCAGTTTTTAAGAGAACGGAGTGTCCGATTTTAATAATTCAAAAAACATTTTAGTTGTATTGACAAGATGAACAACTGATTAATTTTTCAATTCTTCGATAACTTTTGCATTTTTGACACCACGCCTCAAATGGTTCTATGGATATAGCTTACCATAAATTTTTACTGGCAAACAATAATTTCCAGCTACTTTTTTTCTTTGATTAAATTGGAAAAGTAATGCGCGCCGCGAGAGCACGTCAGACATGAGACCTGACACTTTCAATAAGATATAAATCTATGACGATTTTACTTTTGCAAAATTTGATATATGTTGCTTTAAAGATCAATGTCAGTAAAAAGTAATATTTTTCCAATTTTATCATTGCCATAGTTAAGTTCGGTACACCCGTATAATTGTTCAAAGTAAAATTGTAGCTTTGTGCCCCGCCCTAATCTACATTAAAAATCAATTCACGGTTTGAATTTTTTTTTGATTTCGCAGAGTTACGTTTAGCCTGCTATATTGATGGGACTCTCAGCACCTTATTTTCTAACCTGAAATCACTCACAAGTGTAGATCTTCGTACATCTAACATTGTTCATAAAATCGACTGTAAGAATTGCGATGCTTTTTATGTTGGTGAAACAGGACAACATTTAATAAAACGGATTAAGCAACATTATAATATGATCTCTGACCACATCAAAAGTCTCAATCATGGTTTGATGTCACAATATTATATCACTCTAATGATCATTTTTCACCGACAAATTTTCGAAACCGCTGGACCTTCCTAAAAATATTATCAGTTTCTCATTATTATGCAAGTAAAATGTTTTTGAAATCATTCAAAACAGACCTTCCGTTCTCTCCAAAATTGAAATACCATTTATGGACTTTTTGCCCCGTATCTACGGTGGAAAAACTTATCCGCACTTCTCCTTATAAATAGCAATCGAATGTTGTGAGATGACTAGAGACAAATTGATCATACGATATCAAGAAACCAGAGAAAAGAATTGAAAATTTATTTATGATTATAAAAAGTTATAATCTCAATTCTTGTTAACGTTTTTGGAAGCAATCCTAAATATAAGAAATAAATACTCTTGAAAGTGCTAGTTTCCTGATATAAAAAATCGTGTTATAATTATAAAAGTGCGGATTTTCAATAGAATGCTGACAGGATGTTCATCGCGTTTCTTTGTTTGTGGAGGGAAATAATATATATTAAAAGACATTCTTTGCGATTTTATAACTAACACTGCTGCAGTTAATATTATTTATTAATAATTTTATAATGATTGTAGGTGGGAACATTGACTTCACCGATTTAAATTATGAAAGACGGAGCTACAGCTCCATTGGTGCTTATCAGCAAAGCAAACTGGCAAATGTGCTTTTTTCCAAAGAGCTTGCTAAACGCCTCAAAACAGTATGTATATATACATAATGTAATGTAAGATTTATACTTAATTCGTAACCGATTTCATATAATCATCTATTGATTCAATCATTTTTATCACCTGAGTATTTCTACTAAATATGTATCCATTTGATAGACCAATTATGTCAATAATTATTGAATATTTAAAATTAATTATAATTAACATACTATCAGAAACTTACGATTTTATTTTAATATTTATAGATAAATATTTCGAAGATTCTACAATTTGGGAATAGCATATATGTGCAAGTTTAGCAATTTTGCGTACTTTTTTGGGTCTATAGGTATCAATAATTCAATTAGCATAATTGGCAATAAATGTTTTATCAAGGTGATATCGAAAAGTGGCAATTATGATTATTTGTTATCTAACATTTGTGCATTTTGGAAGTTAGGTTTTAGCAAAGACAAAGCCTTTTCCAGTTTGTGATTATTTCTGATTACCAACTGGTACGATTGTAGATCCGTAACATAACATTTCTATTTTATTTCCTCAGGTTAATTCATAAACAGTATTTTTATAGAGTACTAGCTGACCCGGCAAACATTGTTTTGCTAAATAAGGTATATTATAAACCTTTTCTAGAGAATCAAAAATATCAATACTTTAAGTGCATAAGGATGTGTTGTTTGAATGCTGTATACAATTAGGTGTTATAAAAACAATAAACCCCATTAGTTTATCTATATTTTGTCAATACAATCAAACTGCAAGTTCTATACACTTTCTATAGAAAACATCGTATAATCCAATCCAAGTTTTTTTTGGTCTTTCGGGTTATTAATTACGTTTCAAGTTTTTCAGATCCTTTTTGGATTCTGGATTTTGTGTAAAATTGTAAATAATACTACTGAGCTTATACAAAATTTTCAAATTTTTGCGAGGAGAGATAAAAAATGAATTAAGTATTTTTTCTTTGACCTGCTTTTCAAGTTACATTCGATGAATTAAAGTAAATTTAATAAAAAGTGTATATGTAGAACAGGGCGATACACAAAGGTCCAATTTGACTTTGAGCAAATATAAACTATATTGTGAAAACCATAACAATTATATCACAACAAATAAGACATATCAAACGAATAATTATCTGACTACGTTCAGTAAACTGACATCTACTTCATCATTGTAGAAATGTGCTTTTTTGATGTCTTCCAAAAATTTGTTATCTAGACCTTTTTATCCTATATGCGGGGTAGCTTGTAACGGGCTAATAATTTTAAAGGTATTTTACAAAATAATTACATTTTTAACTAATGCTAAAACTACCAACGGAAGAAAATACTTTTATTATGGATTATCAAATATTACCGTTTATTTCCCCCATTTCAAAGATTATCGTTGTCAAATTAAGTTTGTAGCTGGCTATACATCTTTTTTCCTCTACTTTCAAATATTGTTGTTAAACAATGCTTAACTTTACTGATTTTTGGCACATCGGTGGTGGAGCTTTTTAATCCCGGACCTTCATATATTACTATCTATTCTGCGATAAATTCTGGGAAATTATAACTGGAAAAATGTTATTCGACAAAATGTCCATTTGATCGATACCAAATTTAGGTTCTGAATTTAAATAAGATAAATAAAAAATAATATAACCTAGAAAATGTTTTATAAATACCAATGAGTATATAATTATACAAATGAGATCTTTCAGAGCACCGTGTTTGAGAAAAATATGCTAAAAAGTGCATTTTCATATTAACATATCAAAAAAGTTTATATTTTGAGTCTCTAGTAACACATGCGGCCCGCTTACTAACGTTTTTGTATATAAATAAAACTACAAACAAAACTACTTACTACAAATTTATCATAAATAAATAATATTCGCGTAAAACATCCTATTAAAAGTAATTGAACATCATCTGTCAAAAGCGTTTGACATTTCACGAAATTGCCACCGTCCATTGCTTTATTTAAATTACGCTTCTACAAAAAATTTCAAATTAAAAATGTAAAGTTTCTACGCGGATTTGAAATAATTTCTCACCTTTTGGACCTTCTCTGGATTGGCACGAGTTTTTCAAGACTAAGACTGGCCAAATCGATTCAGCCGTTTTCGAGTTTTATTCGGACATTTGAAAGAGAGCTCCATTTTTATATATAAGATAATTGCTTATATTCTAAATAGTAAAAATATATTTTTGTATTTAAATTTAAAAGTCGATTCATGACACTTTTTTATATAAAACATCAACTTTTTTAAATTATATACGTTTAAAAAATATGAGATAAAACTCTCGGATGTTCTCATACTAATCGGATTTGGTTTTTATTTATATTTCTTGTAAACAAAAGTTGCTTGAAAAATACAAACAACTTCATAGGCTCATATATTTTGACCATGAAATGCGAATGAGAAAATTGAGATTATTTATAATAACCATAGAAAATATTTAAAACAAATGTTATAATTGTACATTTTTTATTTATTATTTAATTCTCCCGTTGGGTAGTTATAGTAATGGGCCGAAAATCAAAAATGAAAGTTTTTGCATTTCTCGACGTTTTGAAGGTTTCTGAACATTTTGGCATACCTCAGAAAAAATGGATGTGTGTGTATGTGTATGTGTGTGTGTATGTTTTGTATGTCTGCATTTTTTCGTCCACTAAGCAATCGTACTGCTCTAACTGCATAGAGACGAAATATAAAGCGCGTAAACGCCGCGTCGCCGTCTAACGGATAAACATTGGTACGGAACCCAAAGGAATGTAAACAAAATTTATACTTATTGTTAAAATCTCTATAAAATATCTGATAATTTGATGTGCATATGTCTAATAATCATTTTTGTCCGCCAAATGGCATTTTTTCACTTTTTTCGTTACATCTCCTAAACCGCTAGACCTGCCTGCATGAAAATTTGACCAATTCTTCATTTTGTCAATACAAGTAAAAGTTAAAGTAAAGTACAAAGTAAATAATTAAAAACGGACACTCCGTTCTCTTAAAAACTGAGTTACCATTTTCGGCACTTTTTGCCCCGTATCTTCGGAACGGCTAGACCTGCCTTCGCCAAAAATTAATCAGCACGTCTCATTTTCAATACGAATCGAATGTTTTCTGAATTATTCAAATCGGTTAATCCCAAAATCGTCGACGAAAATTTGTATCCGCACACACACACACGCACACACACACATACACACACATACATCCATTTTTTCTAAGGTATCCCAAAATATTCAGAAACCTTTGAAACGTAAAGTTATATAAAAATGTTCATTTTCGATTTTTTTGCAATTATTATAACTTGCCCTACGTGAAGTTAAAAAGCATTCAATAGGCAATGATTTGGAGAAGTTGTTGTTAGTTTTTGGCAAAGGCAGGCCCAGCCATTTCGAAGATACAGAGCTAAAAGTGCAAAAAATGACAGGTTTTGAGAGAACTAAGCGTCCGATTTGAATTATTCAAAAAACTTTCTGCTTGTTTTAACAAAATAATTGATTTTGAAAAAAAAATCTGCATCAAAAATTTTTTCTTCAAAAAAATTGTTTTTTTGTATAACGAAAATAATTCAGGTTTTATTTTGAATTTTGACGAAAGTTCTAATATACAAACATTTAAATTTTTTCAAAAAATTTAAACAAATTTACACAAAGTTAAATTTAAACAAAGTTAAACAAATATTTTCACTTTGCAATTCCGTTTATATAATTCTTATAAATATTAGACAATGTTACAATATTAATATTAATAATACTAATAATTCATAATAATAATTACAATATTAATATTAATATTATTAATAATTCAATATTCCTCGAACATTTCGTTACAGTACGGGAAGTTCCAACAATTTGCCTTAAGGCACGATGCCATACACCCCTCTAGTTATTTATATTTTTTGAATGTTTAATTACGGTATGGAACTAGTTATGTGGTAATATTGTAGTACTTTGGCTTCGAGAATATTTTTTGGTATATTGATACTGTCAAATTGTGAGCATGAGCATGTATTCCTTTTCTTTCACAGAAAGATTGGTTTTCTATGCCGGACGATGTGGCAGCTCTGGCAATATTTTGGTCAAAAAATTATAAATAGTAGTGGTGTATGCCATCGTGCCATAAGGCAAATTGCTGGAATTAAAAATTTAAAATTAATTAATTGAAGTTTATAAGTAAGCTTTAGAACTTTAGCTAAAAACAAAATCAAAATACGAAAAGTCCAAATTATTTTCGATATACAAAAAAAATTTTTTTTTGGAAATTCAAAAAAAAAGATAAAAAAAATTTCTTTTTCCAAAAGCAATCGTTTCGTAAACAACAAGCAGAAAGCTTTTTGAATCATTCAAATCAGATGATTATTTCTTTCAAAAGCTGCAATTTTTTGCACATTTAGCAAGTATCTCAGAAACGGCTGGACCTGCCCGTCCCAAAAACTAATCACCACTTCTTCCCGTCATTACGAATTGATTGTTTTTTAAATATTCACATCGCATGCTCTGTTCTCTCAATAACTCGATTTCTATTTTCTGCACTCTTTGCTCCGTATCTCCGGAAAGGCTGGATCTGCCTTTTCAAAAAGTAATCAGCACATCTCCCGATCAATAGGATACCAATGCTTTTTGAACCATTCAAATCGGTTGATCCGTGCGCCCTAAAACGTGGACGAAAAAATTCGGACATATAAAACACACACATACACATCCATTTTTTCTGAGGTATGCCAAAATGTTCAGAAACCTTGAAAACGTCCAGAAATGTAAAAATTTACATTTTCGATTTTCGGACCTATAATTTAACTACCCTACAGGAAGTTAATAATTAAAAATTTTTTTAACAGAAATATCCTGAAGTCACAACATATTCGCTACATCCGGGAATAATCCACACTGATCTTGGGCGACATCTTGACTCTACAATCTTCCCAGGAATGCGCTGGATATGGCGTTCGGTATGTTTTTATTAGTTTTATTAAAAATTAATTAAAAAAATAACCTTATTATATTTGTTAAATTAGATCATTGGACCATGGTTCGCGAAAACTCCGCAACAAGGTGCTCAAACTACCATATATTGCGCAGTAGACGAACAATGTGAAGAAGAATCTGGCTTATATTACAGGTTAATTTCTTTTCTTACTCATTAATAGATAATTTTAAAAAAATACATTATCTAGTGAAGTATGTCGTTGTTTATGAAGATAAATTGGCTTAATGCTATTAAGATTATGCATGGTTAGAAATTGAAGGACTTTAAATTTGGATTAAAAAATATGTTAACTAACGAAAGACTAATTAAAATTCGAAAAGTTTGAAATTTTTTAAAAGGCTACAAACGTTAAAATTCGATTAGAACTTTTACGAAAATATTAAACCCTTACGCGGGCTAAATTTAGAAAAAGTCAAGATACAAATCATTTTAGTTGCTTCCTCAAAAGTAATTTTTTTTGCATATTTTCACGTATGTGTGGATAAAGTTTTTCGTCGACGTTTTCGAGAGTACCATTCAACCGATTTGAATAATTCAAAAAGCAATCGATTTCTATTGATAGGGAGATTAGTTTTAGGAAAAGGGTGGACTAAAGGTGTACGAAATACGATTTAAAGAGAGCAAGGCATCTAATTTGAATGATTCAAAAAACATTCAATTCGTATTGATGAGAAGAAGTGATTAGTTTTTATTTATATTTATATTCATATTTATATTTATATTTATATTACGGATACAGGATTAAATTTAGTAATTACAAAAAAATAAATTATCTTAATTAAATTAATTACAGTAAAATACAACTCTAAAACAATATTAAGCCTAACATTAATATTATCTAATACAATAACTTGAATGTACAATGTTATAGTATTGGGATAGTTTATTCAAGGCTTGTCGTGCTTTCGTGCCTTAATTAAGGCACTTGAATAAACTATCTCAATACTATATATATGCTTACAGAAATATAAAAATATTCAAAATATGAATGTACATATAGTGCTTTACTAAATGTTTTATATAGAAATGTTCAATATACAGAATTTGAAATATTTCGGCCAAATGAGCTACGGATTTGAAATTTCGTATTTCGAATTTTTCCGGAAATACCTATAAAATGGCATCAAAATCATTTAAATACCAGGGTCGGTCAATTCTGTATGAAAACACGTTCTATTTTTTGGGCTTATTCCGAAATTTTACTTCTGATGTTCAATGACAATGTAATAGTGATTTCATCTTAAAAGTTATCATTCACATTTTTTCAGGAGCATAAAAATTTTGTATGGGGGGGACGACATAACGTTTTTAGATAGTTCAAGATGGGGCGGGACTCAAAAAAGGTAGGGAATCGTAGTAAGAGATGGGAAAATAGTAAGAGATACATTTGCTTCTACAGCGCAAAATTAAAAAAAAAATCAATAGGTGCTCAATAGTTTTAATATTTGTTATAAGGTTATTACATTTAATTTAAAACGACGAAAAAATACAAACGCCTCCATGCTTAAAATTATGTCGGCAGAAAGAGGAGCATAAATGGTAGCCGTTTATTTTAATTAATTTAAGTTTAATTTCGTTAAGCCAATGTTCCAAAAAGCATAAAAAATATGGTTTAAAATCATTTGAAAGTAATTCAATTTTAAGTAATTTGCTAGGTAAATTCTGAATGTTTTGACAAAATATAAAAGATGAAGCATAATCATCAAAAGCAAAAAAAGCGGGAGTTTTAGCAAAGACAGATCCAGTCGTTTCAAAGATAATAAGCTCAAATTGTAAAAAATGACAGTTTTTGAGAAAACAAAGCATCCGATTTGAAATAAAATCAAAGAACATTTTGCTTGTGAAGAAACGATTACTTTTAGGGGAACGCAAAAAAAATTCAAAATTAAAAAAAAAATGAAACTTACTTATATACTTTAAATGAATAATTTTAAATTTGCAATTTAATTCTTGAAAATATGAAATAAGATCCTTCATTCTGACTTCATGTAAACATATATGACTTTCCATGAAAACATATATGAAATGTCATTGTCCAATTTATATTTGTCTACCGAATACAAATCACGAAAGTTAAAGCATTCATAAAAAATCTATTTGCGAGAAAATACAGCTATTTGCCTCAAGGGACGAGGTAATGCACCACTTCTTTAAAATTTCATAGACCGACAAGAGTTTAGCCTATTTCTGAAATCGTCATCGTCTATTCTGCATCTATTTATAGTCTGTCAAATAAGAGCGTGGTCGTGTTAATTTATAAAAATAATTATTTTATGAAACTTTAATATTCATTTATGAATTGTACACATTACAAGCAATGATGCAATTCGGTCAATATGTGTCCTGTCACCTTTTTACTAATTTAATAGCGTATCCTAGTCTAACGGCTCGTATTTTAATTTAACGACCCATATAGAAAATTATCAGTAAAAAAACAGTTTCAAAAACTCTAACAATATTTTCATGTGCCCAAGTCAGAAAAAGCTCATGTTTTTCAGTCGTCAAAGGCTTCCCTGTTGTGTTGCGCCATTTCAGATCATAAATACCAAGAAAGATTCGGATAGTTTTGTAGATACTTCTAAACATTTTGCCATTAATTTTGCTCGTCCTTGCCGCAGTATTAAAGCAGGTTTCTGCAAAAACTATTCACTGTTCTTCTTTCTTCTTTTTGATCCAAACCCCGTTCTAATAAATCATCGATATTTTTGGCAACTTTATATAGGTGTATCCAATTCTATACAAATGCCTTCGATTTTCTCATATGTTTCATTCGGTGAATGCAAAAACTTATCACTCATGGCGTTTAACGTGAATCTTTTTCAAAGCCTTTGTTGACAATGCATTAAGGACAAAGCTTTCCTTTACCGGATCGCAGAAGAATTAGACGTAAATATTTTATTAACTGTCGTTAAAGTCGACCACGCTCATATTTAATGACGGTAAGTCATTTTCGTTTCGGAAATGCATCATTCAAATGAAGCGCAAACAGCGAACCCATGCTTTTACTCTTCGAATGAAGCACTATTTGGAAATCTGTAGTTTTAACTTCCCGATGGAGAAGTTTGTTTTCATCAAAAAATCCGATTCGCTAATTTTATGTTTTCTCGACGTTTCAAGCCATTCTGAATCGAACAAGACCGAATCGAAACTAAAATCGAATCGAACGTATATCGACGTTCTCTCAAAAACGGCTGGACCAATTTCAAAAATTTAAAAGCCATTCGATGTATATCGATGAGGACTAGCGTTTTGTGCGACGATCGGCTGAGCCGTTTTTTTGTAAATCGCAGAATTTTTTCGTAAAATTTGTCTGTATGAATGTATATTTAAAACTCATCTTCACTACTGCTTAATTCACAAAATTTACCAGTCGTTTTGCCATATTTAAAAGCGCTCTGTCGTTTTAAATATTAAAAAAATACTATATAGCAAAGAAAAAGGCTAACTAGTTGGTTTGGTATTTAGCCTTGAGGCAAGTTACATGAACTTCCCGATATGTGTAATTAATCGACTTAATCAATAAAAAATAATTTAATTTATGAGTGATTAAAAGTATTCCGAGTGGATTTATTACATATGATTGAAAACGAACGAACACTTTGACTCTATTATTTTCTAATAGCAAATTTTCAAAAATCACCAGTTTTTATAATTGAACCAGTTTCCATAGGACTTTAATGGTTTACTATGTTCATTAAAACCAAGCACTCTATCGTTATATCAAGAAAATCGTCTAATTTTAATTTTAACAAACGTCAAAAAACTACCCATTTTCTTAATCTTTGATTAATTTTTAAAATTAAACTACTTGTCGTAAGACCATGATATTTCAGTAAGTTCTATAAGACCATGAACGATACTAATTTTTGCAAACTTTGACGATTTTTCAAAATTAAACGACTTGTCGTAGGGCCGTAATATTTTAGTATGATCTACAAGACTATGGTATCTACCGTCAAAAAAAAATTCATAAAAATCGTCGATTTTTTTTTAAAAAAACTTTATTACAAGAAAACGGCCCGGCCGATCTTTACCAAAAACTAATCAGCACGATTCCCAATCAATATCTATGGAACGGTTTTTGAATTTTCAAAATCGATTCAGAATTGCGGGCTAAAACGTGGACGAAATTTTTTTTCACTTTTCTGCGATTTACAAAGAAACGGCTTGGCCGATCGTCGCACAAAACTTAGAAACGCTAGTCCTCATCGAGATACATCGAATGACTTTTAAATTTTTGAAATCGATCCAAGCGTTTTTGAGAAAACGTCGATTTACGGCAAAAAATCTGTTCACACACACACACACACACACATACTTTTTCCAAATTTGGTCTCATTCGATTCAGAATGGCTTGAAACGTCGAGAAAACATAAAATGAAAACATAAAATGAAAACATAAACTTCTCTTTCGGGAAATTAAAAATACTACTAAAATAATTTAAAAATGTTTTCAAAATACAATACTGTTTATCACTGCTATATGTAATTTATTCAAATTTTGATGCAAACTGAGTCATTGTTTATAAAATAGCCTGTGCCTCACAGAGTATGTTTGTCCACTCAGGTGGACAGCCGTCCCCAAAGAGTTAATCTCGACATCATTGCAAATGTTTATATGTAATAGGAAAGTCAATATACTACTTATTATTTCGAAGTTATTTTCGAATCTAACAATATTATAATTTCAAAGCTTTTCTATTCTCTAGTTTTCAAGCGGTTTCAAATTATCATTTACAGTCTATTACTACCAACAAATTAGTACGTAATTTTATAATAATATATTTTTTTATTTTTAAGTGACTGCCGTGCTGTTCGACCGAGCAGAGCAGCTCTAGACGAAGAAGCAGCTGTTAAGCTTTGGGAAATTTCACTGAAATTAGTTGGAATAGAAAATGATCCGCTTTCACTGGCATCTCTATGACAACATTGTACAACAATACGGTAATTTTATAATAACTTTACATCAAATATATACATGCGCAATAAGTGTCTTTTGTTTATTAATTTGATGATTGAAGGCAATCAGTTCTCTTTTGTAATTTTAATATAGCTTATCAATATTGGTAAGTAATATAAACTAGTGGCATGGCATCGTACCTTAAAGCAAATTACTCGTACTTCCCGTACCAAAAATTTAAATTTAGAAGATTAATTTTGAATATTTTTTCATATTTCGAATTATTTTGGAAATGTTGAACTTTTTGTCGAAGAAATCGCGCTGCGTTAGCTGCGTTAGCTACGTAGGGACAAAATAAGCGCCGCGTCGCCGTTTTACGGGTGATCATCGGTACGGAGCTTATAGAAATATAAACAAAGTTTGTTTTTATTAATAAAACTAGCTGACCCGGCAAACGTTGTTTTGCTAAGTAAGGTATATTCTAAACAATTTCTAGAGAATCAAAAATATTAATACTTTAATTGTATAAGGATGTGTTGTTTGAATGCTATATACCATAAAGTATTATAAAAACACTAAAACCCCATTAGTTTGTCTATATTTTGTCAATACAATCAAACTGGAAGTTTTATACACTTTCTATAGAAATCATGATATAATCCAATCCAAGTCTTGTTTTGGTATTTCGACTTATTGATTACGTTTTTGAACTTTTCAGATTCTTTTTGGAATCTGGATTTTGTGTATAATTGTAAATAATACTACTGAGCTTGTACAAAATTTTTAAATTTCTGCGAGGGAAGAAAGAAAATGAATTAGGTATTTCTTCTCTGACCTGCTTTTTGAAAAGTTTCAAGTACCATTTGATGAATTAAAGTAAATTTAATAAAAAGTATGTATATAGAACAGGGCAAGGCACAAATGACCAATTTGACTTTGAGCAAATATAAATTTTATTATGAAAATCAAACCAATTATATCACAACAAATGACACATTTCAAACTAACAATTATGTGACTACATTCAGTAAAATTACCAGCTACTTCATCATTGTAAAAATGTGCTTTTTGCTGTCTTTCAAATTTTTTTTATTTAGACCTTTTTACCGTATAGGCGGGGTAACTTGGAACGTCCAGATGGCAAACAGGTATAATGTCTTATTTTAATTTTAAAGGTATTTTACAAAATAATTACATTTTTAACTAATGCTAAAAAGCTACCAAAGGAACATTACATTTTTATAGTGATGTGCCAAGTCGAATCAAGTGATTCGAATCATTCGAATCAAGCCTTTAACGACTTGATTCGAATCAGATTTTACTTGATTCGAATCAACTCGTATCAAGCCGCGAAATATTTACTGCGTGCATGTATGAACACAAATTTTCATAAATATAAAAAAATGTTTTAATTTAATTCAATATTATAATAATATAAATAATAATTATAATAAATATAAAAAATAATAATAATAAATATAAAAAATAAATCTTGAATTAAATCATGCGAGCCACCCGGCTTTAATACGCTTAAATGTATCACCCGACTCCAATTTTTATGACTTTAACCGCATTCATCGTCTTCAAGCCGATATGAATTCATCCGAGTTCCTAAGACTCAAACCGACTTATTTCGACTTCAAGTCGCTATGAATTTATCCGAGTTCCTAAGACTCAAACCGACTCATCCCGACTCCAAGTCGTTATGAATTTATCCGAGTTCCTAAGACTCAAACCGACTTATTTCGACTTCAAGTCGCTATGAATTTATCCGAGTTCCTAAGACTCAAACCGACTCATCCCGACTCCAAGTCGTTATGAATTTATCCGAGTTCCTAAGACTCAAACCGACTTCAAGTCGTTATGAACATAGATAAACAAGTATAAATAGATAGCTATGTCGGGCGATTTGACGTTTCATCGATTGAAGTGCGGAGCTAAGATTATTGATGGCAGCACATGTTTATTTTGTAAATTAACCCCTGGTATTACTTCTACATTTGTACATATAATCATTACAGCCAAAAAATCTAAAAAAATTTTAATATTTGAAATAAGAACAAAACATACGAAATACAAAATATATTTTCAAATATATCACAGACATATTTTGGAAGAAATATAAACTAAACAGAAATAACTGACTACTATTAATTAAAGTATATTACAAACATATTTTTAAAGTACTACAAACTAAAGAAAAGTAACTTATTAATATTAATTAACGATATTAATATTAATTACTTAATGACTAATAATAATATATTAAAAACTTAAAAACTAAGAAGTGAAAAGCGCAGGAGTATTGACGATGGAATTACAAATTTAGAAGGAATGGCAAGTAATGCAAAAATTTTAAAGAATAAAAAGAACAGCAAATTTCTAAAAAAGAACGAATACTTCCCAAACAAAATAAACCTCGAAACTAAATAGAAATAAAACTAAATTCCTAGGATTAAAATTCATTTACGAGATGTTCTTCTTTATTATCTCTCCATTTAATAGTTACTTTGCTATCTAATCAATCATTAATAAAGTTACATTTGACGAAATCTTTAAATAGTTTCTGTGTATGAGTGATTTTTAAAAATCACATTTACTCATTTTATGATCATGATGAATCCATTAACATTAAAACTTCCATAAAAGATAAAAAAAACTATAAAGCCAGGTGTTTTCAATAAACAGAATAAACATGTATACATTTGATACCTTTGCAGACTTTTTGTACAGTTTCAAAGCAAGAATTATGTCCTTACTTATTTTCTTTGCAAATGGTATTTAGAATTAAAATTACTTGGCCCTTTCTCTGGATTTGCACACTGTCGTGTTTTTTTATTAGATTGTTTTGTTTACCCTCTATCAGAATTATCGCCTGATTCTACATCAGAATGCTCTCCTAGTCGTGACTGTGTGAGAGGAAAACTCTTTCATGATTCCCGTAAAGGAGATTTGTCTAATCCACACACTTCAATACAGCTCAAAGAAGCCTAAACAAGAAGCATATTATTATATAAATTATTACAAGAAAGACAGATACTTGATTTAAAGATACAACTACATTATTCAAAATAAAATATATAAGCAACTTGTATTTAGTTACCTGAAGTAAGATTACTCTCCTTCGACAATCTGCCACTGCCTCTACATCATTTTTATGAATTGACATTGATATACCAAGTTCTAAAATAATTATTATTAAAATACATTCATATAGTACAAATCCGGCATATTTAGGCTCCGGAGAACATGAACTTTAGGATGCTTTCTTGAATTGATTGAAAAGTGTTTGACTTCTGACATTTTCATCGTGTATTATTATTATACATTTTCATTATATAAATAAATATAACTCATCATACATACCTGGCCATCACTTAAGACGTGCAATTCAATATTCATTAGTTGAAACAACTTGGCACGTGACCATACTAAATTTATTTATTAAATATTCACTAGAACAGAAATATTTAGCAACAACATATAGGTTATTGGCACATTCGTACGACGGCTGTCAAATGCGCGAACGAGCGTTGTTGTAATTGAGCGAATGTAAGCCATCTATAATCTAAGCTTGGCAATACCCAATGTCAAAACACGGTAAAGCGTATTTGTTCAGAGATAACCCCCCATGGTTATGAATTTATCCGAGTTTATATGACTCAAACTGAATCATACCGACTTGAGTTCGAAACATATGTCCGCGTTTCAGCGTATCGACTTATCGAGATGCTGTGCGTATGGGTCTTGAGTGTTTATTTATTTTTGACTAAGCGCTGAGAGCAAATTTATTCATGAAATATCAAAAACTCATTTAGATAATAAATACGCGATTTAGATTTTAATTATTATCAAAATAAACTACACAACGAGTTTTATACACATACAAAATTATCATATTTTAATTATGCAAGTAATGGCAAATTCACACAAATGAAATAATATCAATCTTTACAGTAGTGGATTGAATTGTAAGTCATTCGTAAGACGTTAGATTCAGCCCCCTGTTTAGATTAGATCTAAACAATCAATAATATACACATGCATTCGTTCAACGTAAGATTAGGAATATTGTTTTATATGCTTTAGTGATAGAGAAGTGTTTGGTTATATTTTACTGTAAATTCACTTGAAATATTAGTTATATTTGTAGCTAGTTTATTATTATATATAATATAAATGTATTCATCTCTGCACTTTTTGGAATTAATTGCTTACTAAATTAATTATTTCACTTATAAAATTATTAAAATGATATTATTTCTTCTCTTAAATTATAATTGTTCATATATGAACTTGATTCGAATTGATTCGAATCATGATTCGAATCAGGTTTTTTTCTGATTCGAATCATTCGAATCAGGAAATTTTCGAGTCGGCACATCACTACATTTTTATTACAAATTTTGAGGTTATGTTAAGAAACTATATTTCAAAAATCTTTTTTTATTAATTTGTTGATTATACTTTTTGCTGATATATAGAATATAAACAACTCAAATACTCTAAATACGAATAAACAAATATTCATAAATACCTAAGTATATAAATGATTACATTCCCATTTCCAAGAAATAAATTTCTCCATCGTCCATCTGGCATCGCTCGCTGTTATTAAGAATTAATTTACTTGCCACTTTGTAATAATCTTCCGTAAATTATTCATAATATATTAATTTTAATATATTTGTATCAAAACAGAAACACCGAATGACAGTTAATAATTGAAAGTAAAATGTCATGGATAAAATCCCTGGACAATATACTAATATGGATAAAATCATTAATAGAATCAAAGATTGAATAAACTAAATGGATAGTTTGTAATGTGTTTTAGATTTATATATAAAAATCTCTATAAGATATATATCTTATATATAAAAATCTCTATAAGATATATATCTTATATATAAAATTCTTGTTCATTCATTTAATGTGATATATTAAGATACAAAATTGTAAGTGTTTTTTATTATTATTCTTGTTTTTCTATGAAATTTCTTACATAATATTTATTTAGTTTTAATTTTTATAGTTAAATTGATTGCCACTGAATGAAGGCTAAGATGCTAGCCGAA